GTCGGCGAAGAGATTTATTCAATCCATAAGTAAATGAAATGCAAGAAAAATGCTTATAATTTAATATCCTACAAGGAGTCATGTGGTGTACACATCAGATTTTTTTTTTTTATTAGATTTGATATAAAGAATTAAACTTTTGCTCCCTGGAACTTCATTATAGTGGGATTTGATTTTACTATATTACCACAGATTTCAGCTAATCTTTAGTAAAACATTTTATGTCATAGGCATAAATTATTTTATGAATATACAAGTACTTGTAGTAATACAATTAAATTCATAATAAGCTAGAATCGGCTCCTTTTGTTTTTAGATATGTTACAGAAAGAATCTTAAAAAATGTATATTTTTTTAACTCTGATTCATTTTTATATTCATTTGATATTTAGCTTTTATTTTAATAAAACATACATTTTTATGCCATTTTTTAAGTACTTACATTTTATTCTACAAAGTTAAGATTTTTGTGAACTTTTCAATATCTACAAAACATATATTTTTATGTCATTTTTATTCCAAAAACATCAGATTTTTTTGTTATTCCTGTAATTTTTTAAGAGTCTTTTTTAGCCATATCTAAGAAACATGCATATTTTTTTAAAAAAAACTTGGCATGAGATAGTAATTCAGGTTTTTGGAAAAGTGAACCAGAAAGATCATTTTGACTCTACATCATTTTAAAGTTTTTTACTTTTAATTGTAATTTTCTCATATGAATAATGAAAAACGGCTCATAATACACAAAACTAGTAAAAATTAAATACTGCATATAATCATTACATAGTTTTAATAAATCTAATGAAATTCTATATTGTTTCATATAGACATTAAAAATCATCATAATATCTGAATTCTTCTAATAAAAAATGTGTTGAAGAGGATCACTTGTTTTTAAGTTGCTACTAAAAAAGATCAGTAAGCTGAAAATAATTCATAATATTTTCAGTAAATAATTCATTTGAATTTTGCAGTGATGTATTAGGTTGGCAATTAAGTGATTGCAGATTTTATCCCTAGATGGTTTTAGCACATTCTTTTGTTTTGCCAAAGTGTTTCTTGTTGTCCGGTCTTCCACCTTTAATTAGTAAGAAAATTGTATCAATTAGTTATTAAATTTTGTTTTTATCCCAATTTGAAAACAGAAGAACAAAATTCATATTTCGGACAATCAAGAAACCAAATAGCTAATTCAAATGTCTATGTTCAACAACTCGCCAAACCGAGCAATGCAGTTAAAAAAAAGTGGCCCCCGACCGTTATACATTTATGCCAGTGTCTTGGAACACTTTAAAGTCCACTAGATGGCTTCCTGTGTCCATTAGTTTTGAAGTGAATATAGTTTTACGATCCTTACCTTCGTTTCTGTCGGCTGTTGCGGGAGGGAGGGAGTGTAATGTAAACAAAGTGAGCACGGCTGTTTAACTCATCACGTGATATAAACGTTTGTGTTTCTGATACCCCTTCGAACGTTTTTTCTCATTCCTTTTCTTACTACTATGTAAGGTCTTTTAAAGTTATTATGAGGGGTACTATCACATTTTGAATTAATTTTATTGTTTATATTTAACATACTTCCCTTTTTATTTTGGAAAGCCTTGACTTCAGTTTATTATGGCGAGCAAGTGTTATTTAAGACACAATAACACGCTGAACAAATACAAATTCAGAAGTCAAAACATCAAAAATCAGCGTTAAATTTTCATAGGACTAGTTTCGATGGTTTTACCGAACCACCATCCTCAGCTGCAAAAGTGCAAATGAACGAGACAGGCTTTAATGATCAGACAAGATAAGAAAGGCCTGAACAGAAAATATACTAGTGGTGCCATCTGTTGAAGAAACCAGAACTAAAACATAATTTCTTTAAAGGCCAAACGCACAGATGAATTGGAATTAGGATCGTTAACTAGAACGGAAAGAATTTTTTGAATGTGAAATGTCTCTAGAAAATCCAGTTCTCCAATGGAAGGTGTGTTTTGAATAATTTTGGCAGCAGAAAAATTGAAAGTGTGATTTTCTGACCAACAATGTGGGCAACAGAAGACTTCGCTGTGTTTTATTTTTTTCTAACATATGCCTCATGTTCCTTGACGCAAAATTTTAAGGCTCTCTTAGTCTGGCCAATTTAAATTAAACCACACTGGCAAGGAATCCTATAAATACCCCAGGAATTCATATCCGGAATGGGGTTCTTGAGTATGGAACTCGGAATTTTAGTGATAGGAGAATAAACGACCCAAAACTTAAATTTCTGCGAAATACATGCAACTTTATAGCTAATTGATGGAAAGAAGGGAATGACAACATAATTTTTATAATCTCCTAAAACAAGAGTGTGCCTTTTAGTGTGTTGAGATGAGAATTTTTTAATTGTTTGATTAATAATGTTGGGTGAAAATAGCTATTGCTTTTGAATAATTTAGTTCTTCTTCAAGGATGAATCATCATAATAATGCATGTAGATATCAGCCAGGATGAGACTTCATATCGTCTAATTCATGAGCTAATTTCTCTCACTCAACACTGTTTAAAACAAACACATTTTGTTTTCCAAAATAAATATTACAAGCAAATTGAGGGATTAGCCATGGGAAGCCCCCTCAGTCCCATCCTGGCTGATATCTGCATGCATTATTATGAATCAAAATTGTTTGAAACTTTAAACTTCCCGGTATGTTTCTGCTACATAGACGATACTTTTACCCTGTTTGAAGGTAATAAAGAGGATTTAAATAAAGTTTTGTCAACAAGGAATTCTATTGATCCTCCTATTCAGTTCACTTTTGAACTTGAGACTTGCAATTCTCTTCCATTTCTCGACATTCTGGTCACATGTAACACATCCTACTTCAGTACTACAGTTTACGGTAAGCCTTATCAGTTGCCTTCCGCCACACTTTAAATCATGTCATCTGACTAAAGAAAAGTTAGCTTCATTTTATTCCTATGTTTTCTGTGCTCTTCAAATTTGCTCCTTCAAACTATCCCTTGATGAAGAACTAAATTATTTAAAAGCAATACCTATTTTCACCCAACATTATTAATCAAGCAGTTAAAAAATTATCATCTCAACACACTAAAAGGCACACTCTTGTTTTAGGAGATTATAAAAATTATGTTGTCATTCCCTTCTTTCCATCAATTAGCTATAAAGTTGCATGTATTTCGCAGAAATTTAAGTTTGGGTCGTTTATTTCCTATCACTAAATTCCGAGTTCATACTCAGAACCCCATTCCGGATATGAATTCCTGGGGTATTTATAGGATTCCTTGCCAGTGTGGTTTAATTTAATTGGCCAGACTAAGAGAGCCTTAAAATTTCGCGTCAAGGAACATGAGGCATATGTTATAAAGGAAGATATCGGCTTCTGTCGTCTTCTGTTGCCCAACATTGTTGGTTCGAAAATCACACTTTCAATTTTCTTGCTGCCAAAATTATTAAAAAAACATCTTCCATTGGAGGGCTGTATTTTATAGAGGCATTTCACATTCAAAAAAGCCTTTCTGTTCTACTTAACGATCCTAATTCCAATCTATCTTTGCCTTCGGCCTTTAAAGAAATTATGTTTTAGTTCTGGTTTCTTCAACAGATGGCACCACTAGTATATTTTCTGTTCAGGCCTTTCTTATCTTGTCTGATCATTAAAGCCTGTCTCGTTCATTTGCACTTTTGCAGCTGAGGATGGTGGTTCAGTAAAACCATCAAAACTAGTCCTATGAAAATTTGAAAACATAACGCTGATTTTTGTTGTTTGATTTCTGAATAAGTTTTATTTATCAAAGAAAGGATACACTCACATTGTAAATAAGCCAATTAGTGACAAGAATGAGAGTAATGATTCATTTTATAGTTAGAGAGCAATATTTAAGTGTTAAAGAGCAATATTTTTAGCAATTTTCATATGGGCATTTTGTCAGACACTGAGCTCAATGAGTGCCTGCCTTCTAGTTCACGTGAAAGATTTTTATTTCTAGCAAATAGTCTTTCTTGTGTTTTTTATTAATTAAAAACATTTATTAACATATTTTATAAATATAAACTTAAATAACATTTCTGAAAATTATTCTGCAAAGTAAGCAATTTTTTTTATATATTTTCATGTAGAATAAAGGAAAAAAATTATTAACCCTCTGACTGCTCAATGGGGACTGAAATCGCTTCGAAAATTGTGCATTTGTTTTTTGCAAATTTTAAATCTCTCTATATATATTGAAGAATTGAAATATGCACTTTTTTCTTTCTAGAAGAAATTTTTTATACCAATTTTTATCATGAGAAACTAAGCTGTTAACAGTTAATTTCTATTTATTACATAATATAAAAAAGTAAAATGTATAAAACTTAAGAAAATATAATGCACTCAGGAAAAAAATACCTTAAAAATGTAGTTTAGTATGATAGACTTCGCAACAGGGTTCAAGATAAAGTCCAACTTCGCAGTCTTTGCGAATTTGTTTTCCACTTTCATCTTTCTTTCATCAATCGCTCAGCATTTTGTAGCCGCCATTTCTGATTAGAAAAAGATAGCAAATAGCAAGTACCTTCAAATATCGCAATTTAGCGGACGACTAACGACATCTGTTGGTCAAGAGCTTACACATGCGGGTGCGCTCCTCAATAAAGGAAGAAAAACACATGCCCACAAAAATCGCAGGATGAGCAAATTTTACTACATTTGAGTACCCCGTGGAAATTGTGGGATGAGCAGCCAGAGGGTTAAACACTAATTTTAATATATATGATAGCTTAAGTAATAATTTAAAATAGTACCAAAAATTAGGACGTTAGGGTGCAAACCATTAAAAATTCCCCCCTCCCAAATTCAGGCTTAGCAGACACAAAAACCCATCCAGTGGGATGATTCTTTTCATCTCCATCCGTCCTGTGGGCATGTCTTAAACAAAGGCATATCGTCTCGTAAAGATAATGAAAATAATACAAGAAACATTTTCCTGAATGGCTTTTTATATTGGATTGTTATCACATTAAAACTTACATTCTGCCATTGATGCAAAGATAATAGATAATTTACCTTTTTAAATATTAATTCACACAACAGTACAGATTTAATATTTGTTGAAGTATCTAACCAGTGCATGGCATCAAAGGCAGTACATATAACAACAGTGCGTACATTCTAGGAGGAAAACATACCAAATTAATATATGTACATAAAGTAAAACAAAAATGTTATTAATCATAACATTATCTAAAAAAAGCAGTAACTAAAATACTTCATAACAGAAAAATTAACATCTGAAAAGTAGCAACATGTTCCCTGCCATCTATGAGAATACTGACGGTTAACAAACTGAGTTTACTTGACTAACTGATAATTTATTTCCCAAAATGTAGATACTATAAGTATTTAGAACTCAAATCTATATAGGGGAGGGGGTCATTATTTATTTGAGAAATCTTATAAATGGTCTGCTCTAATTTTTGTTCAGTGACAAATGTAAAGCTAACGGAAAATGAACTATCACATGCACAGGATTTTTGCATGAATAGTAGAATATGTTGAGTACTTTTTATCTTGTTTTGAGTTATCTCATAGTTGGCAAAGGGAACAAACATATCATATGATATGACACCTACAAGTACACTCACATGAATTTATTTCAGTTAACAATAATCTGTCATGTTTATGTTCAAAAAATAAAACAACAGGAATTAATTTAAAAGCATAAAAACACAGATAAGATCTTGGCTCATGGGAATGGACTCAACATTTCAGTTTTGCTAGCACATGCATTAAGGAACATAAATATCCCTGCGTTACAGAAGCTAATTCTACATAAAAAAAATCTATCAAGTCCCAGTTCTTTCCATCTAAAAGTAATTTAAACATGATTTTTCCTTTTTATGAAAAAAATCCTGTCAGCAATCAACAATAACACTCAAATTCTAGGGTTTTTATTTGAAATAGCAAAGAAGTTTACAGGAAATAAGCAGAATATTATGGGTGCCTACAAAAAGAACTGTTTCACAGAATATACATAGAATGCTTACCAGTCAAACATACATAATGTTTGTTTCATGTCTTACATGTACTATCTGTGTCCAAAAGAGCGACTTGCAACAGAAAGCTTACAATTCTCCATTGTCATAGAATGAGCCTTCATCCATTTTTTGTAGTAGGGGTGCCTTGAAACACACTGCCATTTTAATGTGTTTAATAATGAATTGGTGATATGCAGTTTTTGATTTTCTGATTTAAGTAAAATACTCATTATAACATTGTTTATCTTCCCACAGGGTAAGGGTACTTTAAGCCTTCTTCCTTGTTAGTATAGAGCAGAGGTTCCCAACCCTATGTTCGCGGGCACCATGGCGCCTGCTGATCGCTCAACGTGTACCCACCTTTGTGCGATCACAATAAAAATGTTTTAGTTTTCAATAAAATTCTATGAAAAAGTTTTCTCATTTTTAATGAAATAGAAATTGCGTCCAACACAGATACTAGGACAAAGCGAAATATAACTGATGTCTTTTTTTTATGTGCAGGTATTATTAACTGCATCCATCTATAAATTCACCTTGAAAAAGTAAATATGTTTAAGATGTTAATGGACTGACTGCCTCAAAAGACTAAACAAGAAAAGAAAAAAAAAAAAAAAAAAAAAAAAAAAAAAAAAAAAAAAAGATCTTAATAGTGACCTTTTTTTTTCCACCTTACATATCAGCATTTTCTGTCAATATCTCAGGTATCAGAAGTTAATATTGATGAGTTCTAGTTGAACAAGATACTACAGTAATGGACAATATTTATGAATAATTTATTGCACATTTATCATGCTTCTTTTTCTCATATTCTTCTTATTTACATGATACTGCTGCCAAGCTGTTTGGATGATTATTCTCATTTCTGAGCACTCCAGTCAACCTCACAAGGAACTTCTGGACCTATTTTAAAACTCTGTATAAAATGTTACAACCTCTGAATTTAAACAGTGAGATGTATACAGTACAAAGTCCGAGATCCGGAATGATCTCAAAGCCACATACAATCTTCTTTTTAATGAATTCTTTTTTGTATGCTTTATGCATGTGCATTTAATTTCTCCCCCTTAATAAAAAAGAGTTCCATTTCTTAAATTCACTTCGGCACTAAATAAAATACCTTGTTACCACAATAATAAATAAAACTGTCTTGCAAATAAACAGTCATTTTAGCATAAGTTTATATGACCATTAATTTGGCTCCCTAGCTGGGTATCTGTTTGGCATACATCTCAAACCGAAACATTCTACATAGAAACATCATTAAGTTTACACTACTAATATTTTATAGCCCTGATGCCAACCTGGTGAATCATTATTTATTATATTTTGCTTTCATCACTGCATGTTTATCAATACATGACAACTTGAGTAATGACTCATGCAGTGATGCCTAAACAGTATTTTTATATTAGTATTTGGAAAAGAGTGTGGTAACCTTTTACGTTGACATTATGCTTGGTGATGATTACAGATAAGTTAAATGCACTAAGAAATGTTGAGGAGCAAAAATTTAACAAAAATCTCTTTCCATATGCTAAAAATAGTTTTTGTTAATGATACTCATACCCCGAAAGATTACATTTAATGCTATTTGAATTAAGAATAAATGATTTGTTATTCACATAAACCCAGAACTGGCGCCAGAGCTTTTATGGCCACACAAGGCTGCAGAAGTTAGGGAAGACAAAATTTTTGGAATTTAGAGAAGCAACAAGCAAAAAAATTTAGGAATGATGAAATTTGTAGAATTTAGAAAAAGCACTGACACCCAATATTTAGAAAGGGAGGTGCTTGGTAGCAGAATTTAGGACCTGCTGAGACTGCATTAGATAGTAAGATACCTAGTGATGGCCTTCGATAAGCCTTAAGTATATGTAGGATTTTATTTATTCAGGACTCAGATAAGCCATAAGCATGAGAAAGAAATAAATGTAAGTAATAACAAATAACAAAACTAATACAAATCAGGCTTAATTGTCTCTGAGCACGATAGAAGCAAGACAAAATTTAGTGTAACAACTTGTCTTTCATTGCCAGTCTCATGATTCATAGCTAATTATGTATAACGGATACTATTAACATACTTGCCAACGTATGTTACTCAAAAATCAGGAGAATTTTTCAATAGCAAAAAGGTATATTTTAATAATAAAAATATGTAAAAAGAAAATATATTTTTTAAGGATGTATTAACTTCAATAGTAACTAATTAATTTAATATCTGAAAATAAAAATGTTAAAAAACTTTTTATAATTTTTAACTTTAAACAGTTTTAGTTTTTGCACTTGATTATTTCTTATCGATTTTACTGCTGGGAAACATTTTTCTAAAAAAGCTGCAGCATGATTCGATGCATTCAGAGGCAGTTTGAGCTCCAGTAAAAAGGCTGAGAACAGGTATGCTGCATTATTAACTTTTTGGTCCTTTGTTTCCACAGAAAAGTTTGATTTTATTTCCAGTACAACTTACATTGTGCTTGTGTACGCACATGTTTAAGAACATTGGTCCTTGAAATAAAAAAATCGCAATGGCAAACAATGCAAATTGCAATATTACATTTTCTTGACGAAATAATAGAAGGAAAGCCATCTGTGTATGATTTTTGAAAAGTACACGAGCATTTTACATTTTTTGCAAACATAACTAACACAAAATATCGTAGTTTTTTAAGCCATTTCAGGGAAGCATGTGAAACTTACACTACTCACTAGCGAGACGAACGAGATAAACAAACGCGATCTTGCTTTGTGCTCATTGGCTATTATATGCCAGATGAACTGCAGCAGCGCTTGATTCTCATTGGAGAACAGGAACACGACGTTTTTGGACACGTGTTTTAGACTCTCATACACGATGCAGAAACGCGCCATATTTCAGGGACGAACGAATTTGGTCATTTTTACATACACATAGAAAAACAAGTGCTTTCAGAAGCCCCAAATCACTTTTTTTTGTGGGTATAAAATAACGAAAGCAAAAAACAAAGTATTAAGTCAAGCTACAAAAAATCGTGAGAAATTTTAAGAATAAGAGAAAGTTGGGAGGAATAAGTTAAAAATTGGGTTGGCAGGAGTATGGTCAGAAATTGGGAGAGTTGGCAACTCTGTATTAAGCTAGGCTAAAATTATACTTTACTCATTCCAAAAAACTTCAGTTAACACAGTAGACTGCACTGTTTTTTAACATTCTGATTTGATCAGCTTATTATTTCTTGCAGGCTGTTATTATTACAGCAATTTTATACAAAATAAAGTTTGAACTTTTGATTATGTCGAAAAGAGTTTCTAATTCTGGAGCTGCAATAGGATCTACAAAGCGAAAGCATGTTTTGATGCCCATTAAACAAAAAGTGAAATTGCTGCAAAAAATGGATAAAGCTATATCCGTCTCAAAAAGGAATATGGCATTCAAAAGTCAACTGTACATGACATAAGGAAACAAAAAAAGAAATGCTTTGAATTTGTTGTGGATTCAGACAGCCCAGTCACAATGAATAACAGATAATTATTCGTCATACTGAAAGTGATGACTGAATGGGTCAGATAGCATAGTAGTGATGATGTACGACTGACAGATCCAATATCAGAATATTTCATGAAGAAATGAACTTAAAAACTAAGTGCACATATTTGACAGGTTGGTTAAGCAAATTAAAAAACTGCCAAAGAATATTATAAGTCACCATAGTATAAGTCAAATAAAAAATTTCAGATAAAAATGTTTCAGCTGGTACTGAAGCTGCTGAACTTTTGTATATGAATTCAATGAACTCATTAATAGCGAAAAGTTATCTCCAGAACCAAATTTATAGTGCTGAAGAAACTGGTCTGTTCTTGCAATATGTGCCCTGAAATACCTTAGCAACCTCTTCAAAAAAGGCTCCCACTGGTGTCAAAGGTTCCAAAGTGAGACTTTAAACAGTGAGACGAGACTAATAATTTTAGCATGTGTAAATGCTGCAGAAACACGCAAGTTTTCAGTAATCGAAAAAATACACCACCTTGAGCATTTAAAGGAGTAAAGATTGTGCAAATAAAAGAGTATGGATGACACAAGCCTTCATGAACGATTGGTTTGAAAATCAGTTCATAACTGAGGTTCGGCAACATTTGTATTCAGTTGGTTTACCTGATGACTCAAAAATTGTAGACAAGTGTTCAGCTCCTTTTTCACTTAAAGTTTTAGTGAAAGATAATGTATCCATATTATTCTTTCATCCAAACTGTATGTGACTATCTTCTCTCCCTTGCAAAATTGAAAACAGTTTATGTGCAACATTATGGTAACATTATCAGTGGTGAGATAAGAAAATGTTCAGTGGATTTGGCTATCCCTCTCAATCCCTAACTGGCACTTTCCATGTACTTTATACGTTCTGTCTTCCTCTGGCTTTTTTAAAACTAATACTGGATGCCATTACTCACATTTTTCTTCATTAAACTTTTTAATTTTGCTCCATTTCAATAATGAGCAGTTGAATAATATAATCACACACATGCTTGATTATAGAAAGTGTATAATATCTGAAGAATTATGCAAATAATCAGTATAAGCAACTAGAAATTGCAGAAATATGACACAATAAATCTTCTATTTACTGCAAATATATAAAAAAATTTAAAGCTTGACGGAAAATGGTTAAAAAGGGGTGGGGGAAAAGAAAGAAAGAAAAGCAATATAAGAGTAGAACTATGGTGCATAAAATCATTTTGCACTCAGATATTTGCAAAAATTAAGTTATTGCAATTACTATACAGAGAGAAGAAACATTTAAATAAAAATTCAGGCATGAATTTTGTTCTTAAATTAACCAAGCATTTGATAAAATAAACAGAATATTTAAACATATGCTACATCATCAAGTATTCTCAATGCTGGATTAATAATAATTTACTGATATAGCCCTGCTGGATCGTGAAGAAAAGTGATTAAAAAAGAGGTTAAAACGAGATGGAAAAAATCAATCCCATTTTATTTACCTCTGATGTCATAATCTTCTGTCCAAGTTCAGAAATGGTTTTCATAGGAACATTCGAATATTCTTTACTGTCATCATCCATGGCATCTTCAACAGAATTATTGCTCGTATATTTACTGTGCAACAAATCCCCTGGACATAAAATTTTTAATGTTAGTTAAATAAATGCAAATCTAGCTAATCCTTATTCCCATAACTATACTTTTACAAATTAAGTAATTTAATTTTAAACACATGGAACTTTAGTGTTTAATAACATAGGAATTGTATACCCGTTTTTGCCTGAACTAATAATGGAATGTAAAGGAATTTATAAATCCACTTGTGATATTAAAGAAGTCAACACCAAAAGCATTAGAATAAGAAAGAACTTAGAACTATAACAATGGCGTATTCATAGAAGAATAAGGATTCATCGAGAATTTTAAAATGTATTTTTCTGATTTAAAAAAAAAAAAAAAATGAATAAACTACATACTGAATTTCCTAAGCCAAAACATACATTTTTTTAGCAGAGACATTAGAAACATTTTTGCAAAAATATGAGATTAAATTCTGCACAGAAATATATTAAATATTAAACAATTTACACAAATAAATGCCTCACAGTTTACAAAATGCATAAAGATTTATTCCCAACAGAATGTATCTGAGGAATAACAACAAAGACTTATTACTTGTACTGCCCAGTAATAGTTAACCAAATAGTAAAAATTACTTTTAATCACAATGAATTCTTTTGGTTTGAACTAAAATTATTGAAAATTTTAAACACATTATTTTCACACACACATTCTATCTTTTATGTTACCTCTCTTTGATTTTACCACTGAAATAAATTTATAACATTTATGATACTACAAAAGATTAAAAAATCTGATGTGAGCAACATATGACTTCCTTGTAATGCCTACTGGTGCTTCTAAGCCTAACGAGCGTGCCATTTGTTTACATTTGAAACTCTTAATAGAATAAAGAATTAAGTCAGTTTGTGCACCAACTTCAGTGTCTTTTTGCCGAGTAAGTTAACTTTCAATTTTGAGCACAAAAAAAATCTACACATTTTTTTGGCTGCATTTCATTTAAACTTATTTCTTTGAATTTCAATACATATATATTTCTCATTCAATTAATTGAGTTCTCACTTCACAGCAAGGCATAAATATATAAAAACTCAAAACATGTTCATTAAAAATTATAAAATGTAGAAAAACATAAAACACCAAATACAGTAAAGCCAGTTTAAAAATTTTTTAAAAAATAAAAATTAGAATTTCTATGCAAAAACAAGCAATTCAGCCAGCATGTAAGAAGACAGATTTTTTTTGTCTTAATTCTTTATTCTATTAAGAGTTTCAAATGTAAACAAATGGCACGCTCGTTAGGCTTAGAAGCACCAGTCAAACTTTTAAAACTTTGATAATTCTACAACTATTACATGCAGATTAACTAAAGGTATAATAGCCTTAACTGGAACATAACAACATAATTCAATCAATTTCAAAGAAAAAATGTACAATTTAGCAACATATAAGAATAAAAAACCATATTCAAATTAAAAATTGTCCTATAATAAGCTAAACCAAAAAGGGAAGTGCTAGTGAATTAGAAAACTTAATTCTATTTCAAGAGCCATTAGAATTTTTTGATATTATGAAGTTTTGCAATTGCAAATAGTTTTTTTTTAGCAGCAGTCAAATAAGAACATTATTTTTTTTTTAGAACAAATCCAAATTAAATAATTGCAAAACATTATTTTCAAGATTACACCAATCAATTTAAAAAATTAGTGAATAAAACCATATTCAAATTAAAAAGTGTCCTCTAATAAGCTAAAGACATGATTTGATTCTATTTCTATTGCAGATTAGAATGCCATTTTTTTGCACAATTAATATGAAAGAAATTTGCAAATATGCAACAAAAGTGATGATGTTTCTTCAAGTTATGCATTTACTTGGCTCATTGGAAGTTATATTAGGTTTGGTTATTATTTTCTTAACTTAACCACATATTCAAGTGCTACTTGCTTAGTGATGCTTTTACAGAAGACTTCTGAGGGAAACTGATTTCTATCTAAATAGAAAAACTATATTTAGGGATAGTAACTGAAACAAAAATGTACTGCCAGTATTTTATGGTTTTCACTTCTTGGCTAATGGCAAGTTATACTTATGAAGAAAATTATGCTTTTTGAAACAAATTTGAAAATTTCTAATAATTCATTGTAATTACATTTATACAAGGTTATTAATTTAAAGCAAGTAATTTGGTATCATTTATGAATACTGCACTTAGTACTGAAAATAAATTTAAGGATTTTTAATCAAAATATATACAAACTAATATAGCATTATATATTCTTGATACTAGTCATGACCAAATTAATATTATGGAATTTAAAAAACATCTTCCCCCCAACAACTTTTCTCCATTTCAAATCACAAAGAAAGATTCAAATCTGGTTAATTCGGAACTCATGGCCCATAAAAGAATTCCTGGTTATGTTTTTAGTCAATTCTTAAATCTTCTTCCTAATATGTAATGTAGCACAATCTTAAAAGATGTCTGCCATCTTAACCAAGAAATATAATTACCATACAGGCTTATACAAGTATTTGATTAGCCATCATCTTCAGATAGGTGTGAACTATCACAGGTTATCTATATAAATAACAGGTCCACATGCTCCAAAAGACAATACTGCTTAAATCTTTATAATCCTTTCATGTGCCTCACCCCACATTACAAGTGAAAAGTAATCATTCGCTAAATGCATGAGCTCAATCGCCCATCTAATATATAAAAAATGGAATTTATTTGACTATAAGATTTTCTTCTTATAACCGATAGTCTAGTGTTGAGTGCATGGCCACTGCAAGTGTTTACAATGGCAAACGATAATGAGCCATATGCACAAGGATAGGTCTGGCTGCAGATATCCACAACTAAGAGCTGATAAATAGCTGTACAATAAGAACATAATAGACCCATCACCATGACTTAAATTAAGAGAAATTAAGTTGCAGTATTCCTTCCTATGCTGCAGAGAGATTGTGTTGACTTCTGGTATTAATAATGTAAAACTGATGGTTCAATGGTCACTGATGGTTCAATAAGTTACCTGTTTTAAACCATTTTTAATATCTACTAACTACTATTGCACAGTATGAATTGCTTACCAAATTAGAGATTTTTGTTAGTTCTTCCATAAAAGGTGAAATGCAACACTGACAGAATGAACTCCAATTTCTCTGCCAATATGAATCACAATAATGCATAGTTGCTTCAGCATTTTGACTGGTCGTTATATATTTCACAGAAACTTTTCAGGAACCATTATATTTTTAAATATAAAAAAAATATTTTTATTTGACAGAAGACTTTTAATAACAATTGTTTAAAATGTTAATATCATACTTGCATATTTCTTCCCTACGTGCAATTTTCACATGAGCTTTTTCAGCATAAAATTTAGAAACTTTTATATTTATCATAGTAGCATGCAAGATATAAATAGTACTAAGTTATGTTACGCTAATAAAACGAATAGCAGTGAAAGCAATACCTGATGTCTTAGAAATACAGATACTATTATTCATATGTGTGCTTCAATTTGCAGAGTGCTTTATTTAACCTGTGTTCAGAAATTGTATATCCCCCCTTGAGAAGGTCAGCCCTACCAGAAATTAAGACTGCAGAATACTGGTAGTTTGGCTTGCTCTGGGTTCAAATCCAGGTATAAGAACTGGCTGAATGGTTGGTGAATATGAGCTAGATTCCCTCAGAAAGTCCTCCATGAAGGCATCCTTTCTCTTAGGCAGATAGCCTTCATGGCTCTGCATATTCAAATAACCTAACCTAACCCTTGATGGTCAGGAGATAAAATTAATAAAAAGAGGGAGAAAATTACACAAATAAGTATGGCATGCCATTTGAGATAAAATACAAATAAATATTAATTATTACCCAGGAAAGATATATATTCTCTAGTCAAAATACGCTGTAATTCATCATCCAGAATTTCTTGCCATTCAGTGAACTGCTCTTCACTAAAAGTAAAAGAAATTTCATTCAAGACACTATGGTATACTTATATGAGAAGATCTGTGACTTCAGATGAAGAAAGAGTTAGTTCTACAATTATACATATATTAATGAAGCATTACATGCAATAATAGATCTTATAATAAAATCTGGGATAAACATACAGTGTAACAAATCAACAAATCATGTGTGCTTTCTTTCTTTTCTTTCTTGTGATTCAGTGGCAAGAGTGAAACAATGTTCTGTTCCTTTAAATTTTAATTCAAGGAACCAGTCTTTGTGAGGCCCTATAGCGGCCAAGCGGTAAAGTCGCTGAATACTAGTAGTTCTGTCCGAGGTTCGAATCCTGCAAATGGGCTGGCTGGCTGGCCATTTTCATGTTTTGTCCAATGTGTAACGTGTATACAAGCTAGTTTTCCTTAGAAAGTCCTCCACAAAGGCATACCTCCCCTTACGCAGATAGCCCTTGGAGCTCTGCCATAATCATATAGTTTTCGTGATTTGGATATTGGATTGCTATGGAATATTGTATGTCGATGCTTAAATAAATGTTCTTGTTTTGTATATCTGTTGCATGCGGCATCCAACAAAAAAAGTACCAGTTTCCTGAGATTATTGTCTAAAGTAGGGATGCACAACCTTTTTAGCAGAAGGGCCACTAACAGAAATACCTGGTTGCCGAGGGCCAATAGCATATGGAAAAAATTTGGGGGGTGGGAGGGGGGTCAATTCAATAAGTCGCTTAATTTGCAATTCAGACATGTACCATATCAAATTTAAATTGATTTGGAGACCATTATGTATGTATGTAAGCAAAGGGGGATGGGGTTTCCCTTTACCCTTGCATGTGCTACTGGGGCCAAAACACCCAGTTCAGCTTGGGAAAAAAGGTTATGTTTGTGCAGGATAATTTAATACTTGTACACAAATATTAATGTGATATTAGTGTGATGGTTGAGACTGAATTTTATCAACGATTTTTGATATATTTGGTTGAAAGTTAGTTGTTGATATTCTTAAGACAGATTGCAAGTGCTGATCTGTCAGTTTATTTCTTAATTTTGACTTATATAGATTCATAAGAGAAAATGTTTGTTCACATATAGTACAGCAAATACCGAAAATCCACCAACCTGAAATCCGCGTTGCCTCTAAAATATAAATATTTAGCCTATAGGTTCTGGAAAATGCCCATGGAGTACGAAATATCGAAGAAAAAATACTTACTGGATAATGACGTCATAATTATCGAATAATAATGAAACATAACGGAAATACCAAATTACTGACATCATGATAAGTTTTTTTGACTCATCTGCATCGAGGTAAAAAAGCAGACGATTAACTCAACTCTTCTTTCAAGTTCATGCTTCACGTTATTGTATTTTCTGAGCTTTGTTGTTTCATGAGATTGATTAGTGGTGTAGTTTTTTTTTTATCCGGATATCTTGTGGATAAATTAAAAATATTTTAAATTTCAGTGCTTTTTAATACAATGACAGATAAGAAACGCACTTGTGATTTTACTGCTTGCAAGGTTGAAAAATGTAAACACGTTGCATTGATGGTAATGAAAAAAGTGGAAATTCTGTTAAAGATGGAGGCAGGTGCTACTGCTCGATTTATAGCACAATCGTATGGAATTGCCAAACGGACTGTGTATAATATACGGAACAATAAAGAAACGCTGTTGAAATTTTAAAGCAACAGTGATTCTAACACCGGAATCCGAAACAGGAAATCTTTACATGAGGCAAAATCGGCAAACATTGATGCTGTCTTGTACGAATGGTTCCGGCAGCGGCAGAGTGATGGGGTACCTATTTCAGGACTACTCCTGAGAGAAAAGGGGAAGCAGATTCATGCTGATTTAAAAATAGAGGAGCCTAATGTAAATTAACAATATAATATAATCAGTTTATATATGTAATAATAATTTAATGCATATAATTAATTATTGTATTAACGAATACAATAATTTAATTAAATGTATCTAATATGCCTTAATTGTTTTGCACTTTTAGTCTGAATATTATCTTTTCTATCCTGAAATCCGCACAACTTCTGGTCCCAAGCGTTGCGGATTTCTGGACTTCTACTGTACTACCAAACACGGTAGCACATCTGCTTGAATTATTTTTTAAGTGCAAAAATTCGGTAAGTAGAGTTCTATAAAAATCCAGAATATCTAAATCCCGGAATCTGGATTTCCATAAGTCAGAAATTTGTAAACTGATAAGTTCTACTTGAACATCTTCTGAAGCTTCTTCAACTACAACATAAAATGGATCCCTGAACAGTTTAAATTTAACCTTATGCAACTCAAAGTCTGCAAATTGCTTTTCAAAAGAAATAAGCAGCCTCTTTATTTGATCTGAATAATTCAGTTGTTTATGAGGAAAATTTTCTTTGAGTTTCTTCATGTAAGGAAAATTGACAAAATTTTGACAGCCAAGCTGCTTTGAGAACAGCTGGAGTTTTAGTTTTAAAGCAGATACTGCATTGGCCAGGTGATTGATGAACTGTTTTTTGTCCCATCAATTTTTTTGCTTAGGTCCTTCAGATAGGCTCTCACATCAACTAAAAATCTTAAATCACACTTAGAACATGGTTCCTTTAACATCCTAGCTTGCTTGCCATTTTCTTCAAGGATGGTATTATTTCATCAATCAAATCAGCAAACCTTTTCAAAGCCTTTCCCCGCCCAACCACCGTACTTCAGAGTAAAATATGAGATCACTATGTGGTGCATCTGCGTGTTCTAGGATTTCCTTAAAATTGCCTGTGGCTTAAACCATGTGAGTGAATAAAACTGATTGTATTGCTTACTACTTTCATTAGGAGGTCAAATCCTAGGTCTTCCGCACATAGCTGTTCTTGGTGTATGATAGAATGATATCGAAGCAAATCTTTTCCTCTATCATCCAAATGGTTTCCCAGTAGACTCACCAAGCCATTCTGAATTCCAATAATAGCTGGAGCTTCATTAGTAGTGATACTAACAAGTATGTTAATATCAAAATTATGTGCAGAATACAAATTTAAAACTGAAGATAAAATATCAGTTTCAGTTGTTCACCCTTTCATTGAACTCATTTCAACAAGTTCTTCAAAATTTTCAGAAATTCCTCTGACAAACAAAAGCTGAGCTGTTAAAGTAATATCTGCTGATTCATCAGCTGCTAGAGTAAATAAAGTACTTAAATTTGGGGACAGCATTCTGTAATTGTTCAGTAACATCATCAGATAAATTTTCAATTCTTCTTTGAATTGTCATTCTGCTGAGACTCACATTTTTAAATTTCCGCATAGCTACTGTGCATACTTTCTCAGAAGCCAACAATATTTATTTCTTTGCGAAATCACCATCAGTAAATTGGCGACCACTTTTAGAAATTAGGGCTACAATTCCCAAACTAACTTTAACACAGTTATCTAACTGTGAAGATGCCTTTGTAAATCCATTCCTTTGAGCAATGAGAGAATGGCGAAGAGATTCAATTTTACGATTTTGATCCTCAAGCTTTAAAAATGTTGAGTGTTTTGTGTCGTAGTGTCGCTTAATGTTATACTCCTTACAAACACTAATCATAAAATTACATATCAAGCATGTAATTCTATTATTTTGCTCCACAAAAAGTATTTTGAAGTCCAGATCTCCGAAAATTTCCTGTTATCGTCCGCTTACTTTCTTTTCATTTTGCATTCATTCATCATGACAACTATCAAAACCTCATGGAACAAAAATTGCAAAAATTCTACGTTGGTTCCACTTTTAAAATAATATTTAAACAATAAAATGAAATATTCGAAACATGAAATTTCTTAATGGTCTCGAAAAGAAAAATAAACACACATGTGATAAAACAATCCATAGTCATGAAGGCAAAAGTGCAACAATGCTAAGAAAATGAATGTACCACTTCGGATCCGACCAAATATTTTTCTCTTTCACTTTACTAGCGCATGCATGCAAACACACTCGTGCTACATCATACCAGACACTTTCTCAATCTTCTATAGGTGTTTGTCCTATAGGCTAGGAGAAATTTTTGTGTTCAGGCAGCGGATGTGTGCTATGGCTTACGCCGACAACTAGGCTCAGTGCCAAATCTCACTTCCAGGGGACAGAGTAGAATGAGTAATGAGGGGGAAGAGGTGACTTTTTTTGCTTGCAACTCCTTCTAGAGACAACAAATACATCAAATTGCAACAAAAGTTTGAAAAGGTCTCGGCGAGCCACAGGTTGTGCATCCGCAGTCCAAAGCATTGCAACATGTCACTTCTTGGGAAAGCCAGAAAGGTCAATCTCATGCTGGTCTCAGAACTTGGACTAATGATAAAAGTTAAAATGTTTGAGTTGAAAGCAGGGCTGTGGAGTCGGAGTCGATATCAAAGCTAGGCAGTTTTTTGGGTAAAAGGAATCGTAACTAGAGTCGCTACAACTCCGACTCTATCTTTTGTTGGACAGTTTAAATATGAAATGAAATTAAAGTGAATTGAAAAAAAAAAAATAATAATAATAATGACAAACTGAGTTATTATTTTTATTTATGGACTATATGCATTAATAAATAGCTATTTTCTATTTTATTGACATGTTAATAAATAAATAGAAGGGAGGAAGATGGATGTGATATTTGCCATTAGTGATTAAACTGATTCATTTAGTTACAAATCTCACTGGTAAGTTTAGATAAGCAGCAATAACAGAAAGAACTCCCAAAACTGATGCCATTCTTACAAAGCAAGCAGAAAAAGGAGCAATTATTGATCAAGCAATGTGAACAGGAAGTACATTTTTGATGATGTGGAGGTTGTTAAAATTAAGAACTTTTTTAGATGATGTAGATAACCCTAAAGTTTTACTAACAGAAAGACTGCGGAATGCTCTTTCAGAATTGGAAACTCTTCTTTCTGCACCAGCCACAAAAAAGCTATAATCTCAGAATTAACAGGAGGCGAGAATGGAAGAATGTGATGTTTGTTCTTTTTGAAATGGAGG